GGAACGGTTTTCCATGGCTATAATTGCTTTATTCGGAGAATTTTGTGCTCTAGATGTCAAAGTTTGTGTATGCGAAGCCTCCTGCGCCGCGAGATTTGCAGGCGACTGTAAGTGAGTTGAGACTGAGGAGGGAGTTCGCGTGCTTGATTGTGCTGGCTGTGACGCCGCATATAGTACCTCTGTGGATGCTGTAGTCTTTGAATCGGGATGAGGACGTTGCTGTCATTTCAAGTAAAGTCAGCGACAAAGTGTTAAAGCAGCAGTGAGGTGAACTTGACATCAAAATTGAACGACAATGCCTCACGCAGAATCTGTCCAAGTTGACTACTAAAAAAGCAGGTTGCGGATTCAACGAGTAAATAATTTACAGCAAATATGAACCAGGAAAATACTCACCAGCTCAGTAGTGTTATTATTTTCCCCAGTTGCACTGTGAATCTGCTCCGAAGATGAGAAGCCGGCATGGGGCTGGTCGGAGGCGAGGCGACCCCGGCGAGACCGAGCTTCGTCTCCATCACGCTTCTCCCAACTGTCCCGGGCTGGATCATACATGCTGCCACCGGAGATGCGCCACGCTTATTGATTCTCGTCGAACATGGGATTCTGGAGAGCCCACAACAGTAATTAAGAACATTTTGAAGAGATAAAGGACGAAAAGGAACGCTCTTTCTGCGTGCGATGATGGTCCTGTTCATACTTCTGGTATCCCTGGTTAAGTCTAGCGCCTACCCGTGTTCCCCTTACCGCATCCGGCGCGATCATCTAGGAGCAGCAGACAGCAAATAATACCTATAGCGGATAATTCATATCAAATGGTCTTGAGTTAGATGAGAAGACCTCGATTGAATTGAATATGTACGGTGAAGACAAACTGGGTATATACATGGATAAAATAGAAAGACGAACCAATGGCACCGTGCTCGCATAGCTAATGTTGAGCCGAAAGAAAGACATAGGAAGAAATGCGCAAACGGCAGCAGATCATACCCTCAAGCTGAAGAATGAACCCGACCATCATGGAGCAACCGACTTTTTTCCGTGAGGAGACTTGACATTCAGCACCTGTCGCATCCGCCGAAGTTTCGCCCACCACTCTCGATCACTGGCCTTCTTTTGTTCCTCGTTCACTTCATCCACTACCGGGAAGTCACCAGAGGGTGTCTCCGAGACAGCACGCAGGGTGTCCATGGAAGCCGATGACCTGACCTGCCGGCGGTGTTTGACTTTGAGTGCTTGAACAAGTAGTTCCCATCCACTTCGCAGGTCCGCTTGCTTCTCGGTTGACTTGCCTGTCCCGCTTTGAGCCTTTCCGCTGACCCAAGGACAGTACTCCATATGCTCGTTAGCAACATCCAATGCATCGTAGACTGTGGCGTCCCCGTTATCCTTCGGCTTGTACATCCACAGGCCCAATCGACGAAAACATGCACTGCAGCCTACCAGGCCGGCCGTTTCATTCGAAACTGCATCCCAGCCGAAGAATGCTAGCGTAAAGGCGGTTCTGTTTATAGGCTTCGATTGCTCAACTGTCACTTGAGAGCTCTTTTCGCGAGTTTCTTCGTTTGACTCTTGCTCCTGCGACTGGCCCTGCGACTGGTCTTGCGACTTGGCTTGCGATTGGTCCTGCTGCTGATGTTGAGACTCAGTGGAGCCCAACCCGTCCCCGGTTTCGAAGCTTTCTCGAGGTAACATCTTGAGAACATCATCTAGGTTGAATGACTCAGGTGTTTGAATAATATCCCCAGCCGGTAGCTTATCAGTAAGTTTTGTAATATTTGAATACCGTTTCTGAAGACTAGCGATTGCCGTATCGGTGTTGGTGAGTGGTAGTCGATGGATCGTAGCTTGATTGATCAGTGGAAAGTCATAGAAATCTCAAAGAGCGTGTGCTTGACGAACCATCACAGCCTTTGTTTCTCCAAGGACAATGTTCACCATGCCCTTTGACCAGCAGACTCGCATACTCTTCTACCAGTTTGTCACCTTCGGATGGTCAGTCTGACGGCGATTGTCATAAATGTACCAATGCACTTACGGACTTCCTTCCTCTCTTGGACTTTGTCGAGATCATATCCATCCAACTCGTCAAGTTCGTCGGGTAATTTGACCACCACTGAGCCGCCACAGCCTCCCACACACGACACCCGCGAAACATCTGTACAGATCCACCCTCTTTTAGCCCATTCAACCTCACTTATTGCAGCCGGTTTCGAAGACCATCGATCGACGCGGCGAAAGGTCTCTAATCTCTCCAAAAAGCGTTCGCGGTCCCACGGGACGAAGCTAGGGCGTGTTGTTGACGACACGGAAGAGACTTTGGAGCTAGCTCGCGCTTTTAAAAGCGATCTCCCGACCGCTGCGAAGTCGCTTTCATCTTTATCGGTCAGTCGGACCTTCTTGATGGATAGATCTGCGGGAAGACGCTCGCGAGCTGTTGGTGGAGTTGCGGGGGCCTTTTTGGCAGCCGGTTCAGCGGTCGATGGCTTGGTCAGAGATTCCAGCACTCGATGAAACTTTCGCTTTTTGGTCTCAACCGCGTAGGACATTTCCTAAAGTGGGAGTGAGCTGATTCAGCTTGAGACAAACTTGAAGCTCTTGAACTATGGAGATCGAGCTGCGATGATGATATTATCAGAAAGGGAGCTAAACCCAAGACGGCAATTGTCTTGTTGCTCGTCAACAATAATGGGTTCCTGAAAAATCAGGTGTCTGCAGTTTATTCCTCGACGTGCCATTGAAAAAGCAGACTGGAGTTTATTTGATAGATGTTAAATGCGGATTTATGGTATCACTTTCATAAGATCCCGATGCGGCCAGGCAATTGAACCAACCCTGTTATGCTATATTGAAGTATTCATATCTGGTATCGAATCATGCAATACTGATTGGCCCTTCGGCATCTCGGCCGTTCCGATCTCCGTCCACAACGATCATTCGAGGGTCTTGAAAGCTCATCTTCCGTTCTCCTCAGCTTTGTACATACAGGGAGTTCAGCATTGACTCTCCCTGCCGTTGCGTCACCATGGCTTCTTTGGGAGGCTCGGTGCCTATGTTCCGGAGCCTCGCGCCCCGGTTCTCCAAGGAGTTCTTCACTTGTCGACAATGCCTCGGACGGACCCAGAACTATGCGACTAAATCCGCATTTCGCAAGAAGTTCGCTGGCCTGTCCTTCGGCCAAAAGTCATCCATTGCGAGTCCCAATGCTTTCCGCGTGACGGCTACAAAGTTTTTATCGCCTATCTCGCGAAGAGCCGTCTCCGGGTCAGCCATTGCCGGTGCGCTGGAGGATGGAGCTTCTAAAGCCAAGTCCAGCTTTCCCAAAGTGTCTGACAAGATTGTGGCCTATTGGCTGCTGGGGAGCGCGGCCAGTGTATTCGGTATTGTCGTCTTTGGTGGTCTTACGCGGTTAACAGAATCTGGGTACGTCCCGCTTTGTGCATCGCAATTTGAGCGAGACTTGTTGACCATATTTTTTAAATAGTTTGAGTATTACAGAATGGCGTCCCGTCACCGGATCTCTCCCTCCCATGAACGCAGAAGACTGGGAGTCTGAGTTTTCAAAGTACCGTGCCTCCCCGGAATTTCAGCTGCTGAACCCGAATATGAGTCTCTCCGAGTTCAAGTCAATCTACTATATGGAATGGATCCACCGTCTCTGGGGTCGTTTTGTTGGCCTGTCATTTGTGCTTCCGGCTATCTATTTCGTCGCAAAGAAGAAGGTCAGCAAGCCCATGGCGCTACGTCTAGCAGGCATCGCGGGTCTGATCGGCTTCCAAGGCTTCATCGGTTGGTGGATGGTTAAGTCCGGACTCAAGGAAGACCTCTTTGCGCAAGGCAGCCACCCCCGCGTGAGTCAGTATCGGTTGACGGCTCATCTTGGGGCTGCATTTGTCTGCTACGTTGCCATGCTCTGGAACGGTCTTGCTATCCTGCGGTCTCACCGGCTCCTGGCTGACCCTGAAGCTGGAATAAAGCTGCTGGACTCGCTGCGTGACCCGAAACTGAAGATCTTCCGTCGATCTGTTGCCGGCCTGGCCCTTCTGGTCTTTGCTACTGCCATGTCCGGTGCTCTGGTTGCCGGTCTAGATGCGGGTCTGATCTACAATGAGTTTCCATTCATGGGCAATGGTCTGGCTCCTCCCAAGTCGGAGTTGTTCGATGAGCGTTACTCACGACACGAGGACCGGTCTGACCTGTGGTGGCGCAACATGCTGGAGAATCCTTCCCTTGTGCAATTGGATCATCGTATCATGGCTATGACCACGTTCACCAGCATTATGGCCCTGTGGGCTTACTCTCGCCGCTCTCCAACCATGAAGCGGTTGCTTCCCCCTGCCGCCAGGAAGGGTCTACACGGTGTGGTTGCATTTGCTTGGGTCCAAGTCGGTCTAGGCATTTCAACGCTTCTCTACCTTGTCCCTACACCTCTTGCCTCTGCTCATCAAGCAGGCAGTCTCTTCCTTTTGACCTGGGTGCTCGTCTTGGGCAGCCGTATCTGGCACCCGTCTAGGACGGCGAAGTTGCTTGAGATGGCTGCAAAGGCTCGTGGCCAAGCGGTACGCAATGCTACTGCACAAGCCCATAAGCTGTGACTCTGCTACTGATCACATGTCTTGAAGGCAAACGATCTGCTCCTGTAGCTTACAGACTTTTGGATTTCCCTGTATACTATGAATACCTCCCCTTTCAAAAATGTACAATATTGTTAGTCCAATGATTGGAAGTAGAGCCATTTGAAGCTTGGAGTCACTCTTTAGCATTTTTCCTAATGACAGGCGGAGCCTGTAGACGAAACTCTACAGGCTACAACAGGTAACACCCATGTTTCAGCATACTTTCCATTTCTTATTCTGAGAGATCATCACAGCTCGCAGAGCATCCCAGTTATCGTCAATGCCCTACTCAAGGTACCGGGGGCAATCAGGGACCCTCTACATACACTCGTTCGACCTCCAAAGGGTGATCTAGACGGACGAGATGGTAGATGTTGTCCAGCGGAATTATTGAATAATACGCTGAGAACCATCTCGTTGATCAACGCTCGTATCGACCAGCCGGTTTACGCTCAGCCTTTGAGTTTTGTCCGATAAGGTGGTTTCGTCAACATTTCCTTGAGTCACAGAGAAGGTGCCAATATCCTGAGTATCCGTCTCTCTGGCCCTGCGCTCCAGGTAAGCCTGAAGAGCATGACTGGCTTGTTGTTGGGCATAGTCATGCAGTTCTCGAGTAGTCATACTTATGAAATTCGCAACTTCCTCGTCTCGAGGCGCAGCCACACCAGGTGAATGATCTCGGTCAAGGCCGTCCTTCCGGATGGCCAAACCGATGGCCTCAATACTAAACGCCAAAAAGTTCCGAGCTGCGTTTAAGATCTCATCGTCCGCAGAGCTTGATATTTTTGAGGAATATTCCTCATTCTTCATCTTCTTGAGATTGCTTGACTGTCTCCTCCTCAACTGGCCCGCGTCACCCTCTTCCCTCTTGACTGATACCCTGCCACGTCTCATCCGAGCAATGAGAGTCTGGTTGATAGTCCCCGTGTGGACGCGCCCGTTTCCCCGATGCGTGCGACTGCACCCGTTGGCAAGGATACATTTGTAGCATGCCTGCCAGCCGCATCCCTCGCAGCGGGACATGCCCGTTCCATTTCGTGTATTGCACATGTCGCATTTCGCCGTGTGGCAGCCTATCTCCTTCCACTCTGTCTCGACGGATTGTTCAGACGCAGTCGATGGCGGAGGGTGAGGGGGAGGGGGTCTGGTGTGATGAGACGGCGGATCCCTCCTGCGCCTCACAGAAGAAGTTCTCGCCATTGCTTCTACGCGGCGTAGGATGCTGCCAATCTGTGTTGTGTTTGAAAAGGATACCAGGATGGCTGTTAGCCTGTGTGGAGAGGACTTGGAAAGGAGACTGGCTTTATTCTTCCCTATGATACAACAGCAGAGGGCAGTGACAAATTGGCAAAGATTGAGTTGTGTTGGCAAGTACCAGCAGAACTGGAGAAATTGCTCGGAAAAGGGACTATGTACTACACACAATCAGGGCGCGGCTCTGTTTACCGGGGCACGATTGCGCTCAATAGTGCGGAGCCACTCGTCGTGCACTTCGAGCAGGTCAGGGAATGTTCTTGGCTGGCCCTCCGGCGGATTTTGTCCAGCCTCAATAGCAGCTAGATAGAAATCCCATGGGTCTTGTCCATCCCACGGGTCGACTTCCAGCTGTCCGGTGTATTCTTCGTTTGGAGAGTATGGGGGGAGCTCGGGGTCTCCTTGGAGATCCTCTATTGCACTTTCACCTGGCTGATTGTGATCGCTCTCTAGATGCTGTTCAGAGCCCACAAGCTGAAAGTACTGGCTGAAGTCACTGTAGATGTCGTTGTCTGCAAGATTCTGCGCTGCCGCTGGCTGATTGCTCTCCGGGCGCCGATCAATGCTCACAAATTGAAAGTACTGGCTAAAGTCACCGTCGTCGTCGTTGCCTGCAGGATTCTGCGCTGCAACTGGCTGGTTGCCCTCTCGATACTGTTCAAAGCCCACAAGCTGAAAGTACTGGCTGAAGTCACTGTAGATGTCGTCATCTGCAGAATTCTGCGCTGCCGCTGGCTGATTGCTCTCCTGGCGCCGTTCAGTGCTCACAAACTGAAACTGACTGATGTCACCGTCGTTGTCGTTATCTGCAAGGTCCTGCGCTGGTGCTGGCTGATCGCTCTCTTGGCGCAATGCAGCTCTTCCAGCGTTCATAAGTTGACAGAATTCGTCGAAGGCACGATCGTGGCCGCGGCCGAGTGCTCTCACAACTGCAACGACTTCCTCGAAGTCACTATCGTCGTCTCCGTGATTCTGTTCAGAGGGCTCAAAACGGGAGTATGGCGGAGGGTCACGGGCGTCACTCGCGGTAGGAGCCTGCTGCCCAGTCTGACGTGGGATCTGACGTGGGACGCTGTCTTGCTAAAATTGAGCCATATCAGTGACTGAATGTCAAGTCGCGGATGGAAAGAACAAACGTACCACAGGTGGAGCCCTGCGCTCAGGTCGACGAAGACGATTCCAAAAGCGCCTGGAGCGAGTTTCTCCGTTCGAGTTCGAACCACGGGAGAGACCTCTGCTACGCTCAACTTCCTCGTCGTAAGGATATGGCGGAGGGGGGCCAGTCGGGGGAGGTGGGATCCGTTCCCTGGCAGAACCGTTCGGTTCCCTGTCTGAGTACAGGTCGAAATCAGAGCTCTGCTCGCTGAAATAAGGGTTGGGGCGTTCGTCGACGGAAATTCTCAGCCAAGGGGCGTCCTCTTCCTGGCGCCGAGTGCGATTGGAACGAATATCCCTGATGTCGTGGTCACGCTCCGCCTGCTGGCGTTCTCTCTCAAGCTGGTAAAGTTCCTCACTGATGGGGTCTTCCTGGGGTTCGTTGCCTCCCTCTGACATCTTGGAGGCGACCGCCATTTTATATGTTATGTCTCTCTGATGAGATGAGGTTTAGGACTGATCCAGAAAGAATAACAACTCCTTTCACTTGTTTCTTTCTTAGAGGAAGATTGCAAAGAGCAAAGAAGAGAGCTGAGATACCAGAAGGCTATGTGCACCTGGGATGAGAGAATAATAGTGACGCGAGAGAAGGAGAACGCGAGGTGACAAGAAGAACACTTACTCACGAGGAATTCATCTCGCTTCTTTCTTCACTGTGTGGGGGCTGTGAGCTGCAGCAGGTCCTTAAGCGAGCATAGTGAATAGTCCTTACACTTTCACATCTGCTTGGAGCAATGTGTTGCCTATGACGTCTGCAGGGCAAAGGAGAAGCGATCCAATGCTTGCCTAGAAAGAAGCTATCTTCTCTATGTCCTACATTGGACAAAGCAGGTTGTAAGCAAAAGGAGTCATAGAGCCATCTGAATGTCGCTGGAACAGGAGGTAGAGCCCATGTCTATGAAACCACAATGAGAACAGGCAACGAGACTCCCTAGGATTGAATTTACGTTAGGGCTCTTGACAAACCTCCTGCTTCGGAGCTCATGCTGCTACTATGATATAGACCAGCTCAGACGCTTGATTGATACTTGGGAAGCCTCGCTCGCATAGCTTGGTTGGTTGGGTATACTGTCCATGGTTGCTGTGTTTATTGCTTGACTTTAATCCTGAGTAATCTAGCATGACTGATCAATTTTCAGGACAAGGCTTTAAGGACAGTAAGAGCTACAAAGAACATGTACGGGATAAGCATACGAAGATTCTAACGATAGAGGTTGGATCGGTCATCGTGTGTCGCGATGTGCAGTCGATTTCGCGCCGAAGTAGATCCAAACGATCCGTGACCTGGGCTTTGGTATTTCTTTTGACCTTATCGTTGAATCAACTTCGAGGTTGGCATGTCGGTGTCTCCTATATGCAAGTAATGGACAGCAGATGCTTTGAACGCTGGGGGAAGAACCGACTTGCGAAGTTGGAGAGAGACACCTAGAAGTCGTCCTCAGAGCATCATTTTTCATAAAGTATAGTACGAGATGCTCGTCCTACATGATGTTGTCGAGACGCTCACTACCAGTCAAGTCAAGATGCGAAATGGGATCTACTGTATGAATTTTTATTTCACTCTTAGTGTATCCTCATAGACATTCATATCAAGCATGCAACCATTGTCATCAACGATAGATCCATCATCCAGTTCCAGTATCATGCGATTATTTATGAGCTGCGAAGAACATACAGGTTAGCAACTCGGTTCAGGCTCACTAAAATATGAATAGTGCAACTTACGGATTCCCTCTTCGGGCTTGGGCTCAATGCCAGCAACCTCGGCAGCAGTCTTGACCTCCGCCGCTGTCTTGTCTTCCTTCATGAAGGGGAAGGCGAGGACCTCCTTGATGCTGTAGTTGTCCGTGAGGAACATGACCAGACGGTCGATACCCATACCCCAGCCACCGGTAGGAGGCAGACCATACTCCAAACTTGTGCAGAAGTTCTCGTCAATGAGTTGGGCCTCATCATCACCCTGGTCCTTCTGTCTGGCCTGCTCCTCGAAACGGAGACGCTGGTCGAAGGGGTCGTTCAACTCGGTGTATGCGTTAACAATCTCCTTCTTGCAAACGAAAGCCTCGAAACGCTCGCAGAGACCGGTGTGCTGGCGGTGGTACTTGGCAAGGGGAGACATCATCTGGGGGTGGCCAGTGATGAAGGTAGGGTTGACGCAGGTCTCTTCGATGAACTCGCCGACCAGCTTGTCGAGCATACGGGCGTTGGTCAGGGGAGGCGAGCATTCAACGCCAGTCTTCTTAAGCACGCGCTTGAGGAACTCGCCAGTTTCAGCGGTGTGCAGCTGGTCTCCAGGAGGGAACTTCTCGCCAGTGGCCTCCTCCAAAGCAGGGATCATCTCTACCCGCCTCCAGGGCGCCTTCCAGTTGACGTTGTAGACCTCGCCGGACTGAGTGTGGAAGGTGGTCTCATAGCCACCTGTAACGTGCTTGACCAGACCGGAGATCAGCTCCTCAGTCAGGTTCATGACATCGTAGACATCGGCGTAAGCCCAGTAGAACTCGCAAGTGGTGAACTCGGGGTTGTGCGTCAGATCAATGCCCTCGTTACGGAACTGACGACCGAGCTCATATACACGCTCCAGACCACCGACAATCAGCATCTTCAAGTACAGCTCGGGGGCGACACGCATGAACAGGTTCATGTCAAGGTCGTTGTGGTGGGTAATGAAGGGCTTGGCGGTAGCACCACCGGCGATGGCGTTCATCATGGGGGTCTCGACTTCGATGAAGTCCCGGCTGTCGAAGAAGTTGCGCACATAGCTAACAATCTTGGAGCGAGTGACGAAAACATTGCGGGATCTCTCGTTCATGATCAGATCCAGGTAACGTTGGCGGAAGCGCTGCTCCTTGTCCTGGAAACCGTAGTGCTCCGAAGGAATGGCGTGCAAGCAGGGCGCCAGGAGAACGACCTCGGTGGCGAAGATAGAAAGTTCACCGTCGGCGCGGTTCTTGGGGCTGGTACGACCAGGGAAACCGACGACACCAACGATATCTCCTCTGCGCAGGTGCTCGTGCTGAGCCTCGAAGGCGACATCCCCGGTGGCGTTCTGGGCCTGGCACACGACCTGCACCTTGACACCTTCGGCACGGATATCGTAGAAGAAGAGCTTGGAACCTGAAGAACGCTTGGTGTAGATTCTACCGGCGATACGGACGGTGACATCGGGCTTCTGCTCGCCCTTGGCGAGACCATCGTAGGTCTTGAGGTATTCGCGCAGGTCATCGGTGACCTGGAACTTGTGAGGGTAGGGGTCGGGCTGCTTGGTCTCGCGCAGCTTGTTAATTCGCTTGCTACGGATCTCGAAGTATTGCTATATCCAGGAGCAAATATTTTAGCAACGAATCCCGACAGATTCAAGTAACCGTTTGGATTTCAAAGAGTGCAAATCAACATACGTTAGGAGTCAAGTTAGCCTCTTCTTCCTCAGCGGAGACCTTCTTCTCAGGCTTAGGAGGAGCATTGGCTTCCTTCTCCTTCTTCTTAGCCTCCCTCTCGCGCAGCTTCTGGCGCTTCTTCAATTCGGTCTTGGAGACTCTCTCGCCCGTGACCTCATCGAGCAAAAGGTTGGCCACGGAGGCCTCAACCTCGTTGACTGCGTTGGAATCCGCCATGTTGAATCAATAGAGCTTTTATCTCTCTCTTTTGAAAAAAACACAGCCAGAAGAAGCCCGATGGCAAGAAATCGAGGAGGAGAGGCGGGTTTGGTGGGTTAGGTAGAGGAGAAATGCCAGAGAATTTTGGGCCTGACTCATGGATCGGCGACTGTCATTGGCTGTTTCTTTGAACCTCTACCACAATAAACGGAACGGCCGATAACGGCCATATGGATACTACATCTTTCTACGTTATACAACACATAAACTCCCTGGGAAAGCCCACTGCACCCTGGAATCACTTTGTTCATTGCATGCGATAAATCCTTACTGAAAATGTGATGTTTTCATCAATCGGGGCTTAGGGCATAGGGCTTTGACGTGGGGCTGGGTTACCCCGCCTTCGATGCTTCCAACCATCCCGCCTTATCACCAGTACAAAGCCAACCTCAACTTCAACCCAAAGATCAACACGCGACTGCCTAACCGGAGGCGTGGACATCATCAAAGACATGTATCTGTATCTTAGCATGAAGCCAACACAATACATCGATCCCAGTCCGAGTCCAACAACCAACAAGCAGGATCATCAGCCAGCTACCGGTCCGAATCCTGGAAAACTGGACCAGTCCTCGGGTGGTTGAGACTTAATGGCCGGGTCAGACTCTGCAGAATCCACAGCATCGTCTTCCTTCTTAGCTGTCGCGAGCCATTCCTGAGCCTTGAGGACCTTCTCTTTCTCCTTCAACAGGTACTGTCGGCGTCGCTGTCGCTCGGGATCTTCTGCCATCAACTCCATGCAGCGTTCGACAGCTAGGTTCTGTCAGTTGTTTGCCACTAAAGATGTTATTGGATGGGAACATACCATTTCCATCGAAGATGCGTAGTTCGTTCTCAATGACTGTAATCAGTTCTTCACGGCATCTGGAGAAAAGTTTCGTATGTACACTCTGACAGACCGAGTCGATGAACCGGGAACTCGCTATTTCATAGTAGCCACGAGTCGTCTGAGCACTATTAGCATGATATTACGCGACTCACCAGCATTGGTAATACTCACCGCCATCATTTTGAGTTCCTGAACGAATCTGTCAGGACCGAGCTCGGCAGCAGTGAGTTTCTTAATCTCAGCGTCGCGGCGTGGGTCCCCCCGAGGGATTTTGCCTTGAAGATCGAGAAAACAGTGTGACCTTGCTTCATGTCGGCGAGCTTTCAGATACTTGTACGCATTTTCAGTGGCTTGCTCGAGAGCGGAAATCGCCATAGTAAAAGGCTTGTTATGCTCAATATTGTAGTTCTCTTGCGCGTGTCTGAAGTGCTCCTTGCGGAGTGTCTGCAAGTACTTGTCGATGATACGTTTGAGTTCTCGGTAGAGACTGGTTTGATAGTATGGCGTGAAAACGTCTTTGAGCTGTCTCATCAACATGTCCCTCACCAACTGGTGAGTAGCTCCCAAGAAAACTTGCATTGGTTCGTCCCAGTGCTCGACGCTCAGCTGGTTCATGACTTCTACGGCTTTGGGGTCCGTCTGATCGGGAATACCAGCACGATAGGAGTCCTCATTAATCTCTCTGATTTCTTCCCAGGTGAACATTCGTGCGGGACGATCAAACCGGTTAAAGTGCTCGGTATAGTAACCTGAGGGCTTCGGAGTCGAGGGCTGGTCTGGCTTGGGATCCGCTGGTGTTGGAGTAGGCCTGTCGCCCGGGGTCTTGCGTTTCACATTCACGCTCACTGATCGCTGTATTGAGGTCATTTCGCAGTCGGAGTCGGCGTCCTCTCGCGCAATGGGAATGACCATCTTGTCTGAATGGGCGAGAAGCTGAACAGTCGGCCTGGTCTTCAGCAGAGCTCTTTTGAAGTCCTTTGCAATGTTGCCCCATATCTTCTGGAGGGGATACTGAGCCGAGCCGCCGTCAATATGGGCACGGATTTGATCTTTGAGATGGTTCAATTTGCCGCAAAGAATGTATGGGACATTTGCTGACGGGGGATCTGGCAGAGTCTGTAACTCTGCGTCTATGCGCGCGGCTTTCTCGTCGATCTGCTCTATTATTCTCGGCAGACACCCTTGGATCTGTTCTAAAAGAAGACTTGAAAGCGCTGCTTGTAGGTGTCTGGTCCCAAATCTGTCCTGGTAGGCAGATAGTTCTGTTGCCCACGGACTCTTTGCGAAGAAGACAGCTTCCTCTTCTCTCGCGCGAGAATGCTCGATGGCCGGGTCAGGATTGTTGCGGACGATGTAATAGCCGTGACCAAGTGCAAATTTGTCTCCTTCCAGAATCTCGACCCACTGATCGTATGATTCGCCCGTCTGAATACGATCAGGTTTTGTAAGGACACCGAGTGTTCTTTCTTTGGCGCCACGAACATCCCGCATGATACGTGCAGCGCTTGAATTCGTGGCGTCGTCGGTCATTGGCAATGCCAATAGCACAATGCAATTTTCCTGTGAGATGTACTCTTTCACGAGGTTCTCCACCAGTGAAACAAGGTAACGCTCATGATCGTGTTCGGCCTGACTGATGACACCAGGTAGATCGTAGAAGGAGAGATTAGGAAAGTTAGGCGCCGAGATGTCCAATCGAACCACATTTGGGGAGAATTTAACCTGACAATAAAACTCGTCGGTGTCGGCGTTATTTCCGGGTTGATAGTCGGCTGAAGGTCTTCCTGGGTTCAAAATGGCAAGCTGGGCCCACTTAATGGCCTCTTGTACAGCGTCTTTATCTTTCACATCGGTAAAGTGCTCATGTTCCTGGTCTTGTTCGATCCATGGTCCCAGAGGCTGCGACTTCTTGGGGAGTTTAGTGACCTTCCGGGAGCCGTCGAAGATGTATTTCCGTGACAGAAAGATGCGACAACTCCAATCCTGACCTGGCTCGCTTTCCGAGAGGTTTATTTCCATGGGGCAGCGAGTGCATGTTCCAGCACTGCGAGGCACCTTGATCTCGCTCATGCCTTCAATGAGGGAGCTTTTGCCGGTACTTTGATCCCCTATGACGCATATTTTCGGGAGGGCGATTCTGCTGTCTTCAATCCCTATGTGCCGGAGGTCCTGTATCTTTTTGACAAGGCACTTCATGTCCCGCGCAATAAGATTTATTGCGTCTGTTTCAGTGGAGGGTAGGCCGGACATGACGACTGGCGTATTGTTTCCTGTGGCTGCAGCAGGTCAGAGATGAAGATGTGCTTGAGCTCCCTTACTCACCTGTTCCTGTGCTATCTGACATGACGATACTAACAACTGAGGAGAAATGTTGGTTTGAATGACGTTGTAGCACGTGGGGGAGGGTATGGAGGTAGGTGAGAAAGAAAAAGAAAGGTGGTATTGTGTTCACTTTGATATACAGATGCACACACAGTCTGCGAAATATGGGGAAATATTAAGAGGACTGAGAGGGAGTAACACTTAAGAGGGCAGTTGTTGGGCCCAGTGATTGAAGTATTAAGTGAATGGCAAGTGAAGTGTGAATTGAATTGAAGATGGAGAAGTGTATATCCAGCACAGATGTCTTGATTTATAGTAAGCCAAGAAGCAAAGCTCAATAGAAGTTATGATCGCCATGATGTCTGTACAAAAAGTTTGGTTGTTATTGTAGGCTCAGAAATCTCATTGTCCAAATGAGTGTATACTGCACTGCCAAATTTGGTGCGGCATATACAACTTTCTGTTGCCAAGGCGGATGGATCAACAACCATGTCCAACTGCAAACACCTCACATCTCAAGTTACGGCAGATGAAGATAAAGTGACAGAGTGAAAGTTGATATTAACTTTACTGTGTTCGTCTGTCTAATTGAAGCAGTTTGTAGAGGCTAAGATTGATGCTGCTGAGCTTTTGCTAGCAATCACTTGAAGCATGTATTTGACTCCGTGAATACTAGACATCGTGTCACATTAGCTTATCCACATTAGCACGCGGAATATTGCGCTGAGCTTTCCAAAGGGACATCCATGTTTTCAGGGGCAAACATGCTGATTCTTGGCTTTGAAAGACCTCGAATCACAGGTGGACGAAAGCGGTCAGATGGCTGTCTATGTCGAAGCTCCCCGTGACCCGTGGTTCACCAAATGCGGATCCTTGCTACTCCCGACTTGTTCTAGTCAGCCTAAAGTTAGTGCCTAAGGTACCAAACGAGGTACCTGTGGTGGGCCTGGAACAGAGTGCGTGGTCATCTGGGGGCATCACCGCAGTTCAAGCATAATACGCATAATAGTTATTATTGTCTTTTCTCCTATTACTACTTTGTTAACTGTCAACTCTACTTATCCATACTACCAAGTATCATTATTGCCAATTCTCCCTCCATATCTGATCACCACAGTCCAATTCATACAACAACTCCTCCAATCCGTCATTTCAGCCATTCTCAATGCTTCAAGTTCCAGTGCGGGAACATTCAACTGTGGCCTCCACCAAGGCTGTGATCTTGGTAAGTGAAGCAGGGAGAACAGCACCTCGATGTCGCAAATGATTGGTATGCAGCTAACAATGCTCACGATCAGGTCGGAGGTCCTTCAAGAGGTACTCGGTTCAGACCTCTGTCTCTTGATGTTCCCAAGGTGGGTTACCCCTCCTTACTCTTCCCCTCGCTCAGGGAGTGTAGCTAACTCAAGGGTCAATGAACTCGATCAGCCCCTTTTCGAAGTTGCCGGTCACCCCATTATCAATCACTGCCTCAAGGCTCTCGCCAAAATCTCCGATATCCGAGAAGTCATCCTGGTCGGCTACTACGATGAGTCGGTCTTCCGTGATTTCATCAAAGACTCCAGCAAGGAGTTCCCCCAGTTTCGAATTCAATACTTGCGTGAATACACAGCGCTTGGCACAGCAGGAGGTCTCTACCATTTCCGTGATGCCATCCTCAAGGGCAAACCCGAGCGCATTTTCGTCCTGAACGCCGACGTCTGCTGTTCCTTCCCTCTTGGTGAGATGCTGAAGCTGTTTGAGGAGAAGGACGCCGAGGCGGTGATTCTGGGAACCCGGGTCAGCAACGACGCCGCGACCAACTTTGGATGTATTGTCTCCGATGCTCACACCAAGCGCGTGCTGCACTACGTCGAAAAGCCGGAATCGCACATCTCCAACCTCATCAATTGCGGTGTCTACCTCTTTGCTACTGAGTGTATCTTCCCCGCCATCCGCAGTGCCATCAAGCGCCGTACTACCCGGCCTCGTCTCCTCTCATACCCTTCCTCGGAAAATCTGGAGTCCTCCTTCATTGCCGCCGATGAGGAGACGGAGAAGAGCGAGGTCCTCCGCCTGGAGCAGGACATCCTCTCGGACTTGGCGGACAGCAACCGCTTCTTCGTCCACGAGACCAAGGATTTCTGGCGACAGATCAAGACCGCTGGCTCGGCCATCCCCGCGAACGCACTGTACCTGCAAAAGGCCTTCCAGGCTCAATCCGACGAACTCACTCCTCCCTCCGCCACGATCGTGCCCCCCGTGTACATCCACCCCACCGCAACCGTTGATCCGACCGCCAAGTTGGGCCCCAACGTCTCCATTGGTGCCCGTGCTGTCGTCGGCGCTGGAGCTCGTATCAAGGACTCGATCGTGCTGGAGGATGCAGAGATCAAGCACGATGCGTGCGTGATGCACTCGATTATCGGCTGGAGCAGCCGGGTGGGCGCCTGGGCTCGTGTCGAAGGGACCCCGATCCCCATGACAAGCCACTCCACTAGCATCATCAAGCATGGCATCAAGGTGCAGAGCATCACCATCCTGGGTAAGGAGTGTGGTGTCGGCGACGAGGTGCGGGTACAGAATTGTGTGTGTCTGCCATACAAGGAACTCAAGAGGGTAGGTCAATTAACTCTTGTGCATTACTCAATGACACTGACATGGTTATACAGGATGTTGCCAACGAGGTTATTATGTAGTGAGACATTCAAGATAGGCTGTTTTGGATCTATTCGATGGATTATACATATTGCTCGTTACAACTAATCTGTTCGACTCTTCTATCAAACTCTTTACTCTTGGACCTTAGACAAAGTTTGGCCGTCTGGGCCCAATGCCGGTAGTAATTTTGGTATAATGCGATATCAGACAAATCATGGAATGATAAACCGCCAGGCCATGTCTTGGCTTCCCCTGAATGAAAGCTCGCTGTTCAGTGATATTTGTCCCATCGCAGAATGAACCATGTATATCCAGTCGTAACACATCAAAGAATGGCAGAAATCATAAACCCGGTAGTCAGCTACTGCTTGTCCACGACCACCAACTCACCGATAAGCCCCGGGGTCATAAGCCGTCTGCTCCGCAGGATAGCCATACCCCGGACGCCCAACACCGCTGAACCGAACCCGCGGCCCACCCCGCTGACTTCTCGCCGGCGCAGTCTCCGAGAACTCTTGGGCCTCACCCGCATGGTAATGCTCCGCCGACGCATTGAACCCGTACACCGGCGGCGGCACCCGGTACGCCGGGTGATTCGCGTAATCCGGACCCGGGATATCGGAGATTCCGTGACGATCTGCATAGGGGCTCTCATGGAGCTGATGCTGATGCTGAGCCTGGAGCGAGTGCCGCTCATCGTCGAGTGGGACGCTGACGTTGGTGTCTGCCATGGCGCTATTGTTGCGCTCGTGCAGCTTGATGTCTGGGTTGCTGGTCATGGGGTCGTATTCGCCTAGTCGGGTCTGGCGCTTGTGGATGACGATGTCGAGCGCGACGGCGGCGATGGCGGCAAATGTGCTGGTGCAGGTGAAGGTGAAGAGAGCCTTGTATGTGCGGCAGACGGTGATGCCGGTGGAGGTAGCCCAGTAGGTTGCGTTACAGGTGGTGAGGATGGTGTGGGACATGCTCCAGCTCAGAAGGCCGAGGGAGATGAGCCAGAGGATGAGGAGGATGGTGTTGGAGAGGAGGGAGAGCCGCGGGGAGAGGCCATAGCAGCAGTGGGTGAGGCTAGTGAAGATGTAATTGAGGATAGAGAGGAATGCGGAGACGACGAGCTAGATAACGGTAAGGTTGGCTTTGTGATGGTCTGCAAGGCACAGAGCATAGTACTTACCAGTAAGAAGGCCCAGGGAAGTTTGTAACCGCCGCTTTTGAGATGAGAGATAAACACGGCGAGGATGATGCCGACGATGACTGAGGAAAGTAGGGAAATTGCGCGGATGGTATGAAAAGGTACAGGAGGGTACAGAGACGGTTTTACAGATTTAGAACGCATCCCTGAGGTTGTGGATGGAAGCGCTGAGGACTTTCAGAAAATCCAGTCGCTTCAGCATCAATTGTCGAGTATGGAATAGTCTCTGTAAAGCCTGTGCAGAAGTACGTATACCAGGTGTTCTCCACTGTTGATGTTGATTGAGGCTACCCTGAGATAAACAAATATGAGATTGCCGTAACAGACATCGACTGACCACAATGTAGGTTTTGCAAAATTGGCTGGACCAGGCAAGAGAGCTGAAATATAATCTTTAGCAGAATTCCAGCTGAACAAGAAAGCTGCGTACTGCCCCAAGCTCGATGCAATGCAATGCCTCCCTTGGCGATGATCCACTGCGGGTGTTGCTAAAGAAAGAAAACACGCTAGACTAAACGTTATCGATAAACAATCGTCGTCATCTGGATTGGACTGGACATTCTTGTCACGCAAATGCCGTCTGGGAGCTGGTTCTTACTTGGCAGTCATTCTGAGAAAGCCAGTTTCAACAATTTTCTCTCTCTCTCGATCTGACGAACCAGAGCGACGAGAACGTTGATTGCTACCTCAGTTTCCTCGGATTCTTGTGGCGTGTTTCAAGCTAAATGATCTGCTTGGTCGCTCCACGAGGACGCGGCACAGCTCCATTTATCAAGCAATGCCGAGGAGCATCAATCGCCCTTTATGGATATCGAGAATCTCGACTTCAGCCTTTCTTCTTTCCCGCATTCTTCTCAGCTTTGACTTTAAGTTTGCTAGAAAAGACATAATTCGCTGCAGGAGTTTATCCCGAAAACTTTACCCCGCCTAGTGACTAACAGCCGTATAGCAAGTGACCTCTACAGATTAGAAATCAACCGGCATAGTGTAATATCTTCTTTGACTGACGCTAGTCTGGTACTTGAGGTATAATATGCCGACTCTTTAGCTACCATCTCTTTGGGGACGCCTCGATTGCACATCGCTTGAGATTCTGATTGCCACCCATTGCACCAAAGATGGCTACCATCCTTGCTGGGTCACTTCCCTGGCATGATGGCGAGAGGAAGATGCAGACTTTGCTCAAAGTTCCGTTTAAACCCAATCCAACTGTGCCTTATCTCTATCCTGGAGCCGCATTCCTGGTACAGAGGTCTCCTTTAATGGCCTTGGGCACCATAGACGAGGAAGGCCGACCATGGGCGACTGTGTGGGGAGGAGAGCCTGGCTTTGCCGCCCCTGCTTCGCAGTCTACTGTCGATATTAAAACTCCAGTGGATAGTCGATATGATCCTGTCGCAGAGTTGCTACTAAGAGGCTCCACGAAAGAGGACAATGTTTCCGCAGAGACCGCTGGCCAGCCTATCGCCGGGTTGGCGATCGATCTGGAGACTCGTAAAAGGGCGAAACTTCATGGAAGGAAGATAGCTGGATCACTGGACACTGATAGCCTTGAATCGGGTGGAGATTGCCAAGGTCAAAGAGAAAGAGGAATGGCGCACCTTTCTGTGTTCATCCAGGGATGTCTCGGTAGGGTTTCGATCGTATCTATGGTTCTATGAGACGTCTTTGCTAAATACGTCACAGGCAACTGTCCCAAATACCTGAATAAGAAGAAGATAATCCCAGCTCTACCTGATTCGAAACTGATTTCTGACACTCCCCAGCTACCACCAGCTGCAGTTGAACTACTCAACCGAGTGGACTGCCTATTTGTCGCCTCGACTCATGGTACTGAAGACATGGACATCAATTTCCGCGGTGGGCCTCCAGGCTTTGTACGACTAATGAGCAACGGACCTAATGGTTCTGTTTTTGTATATCCTGAGTATTCTGGCAATAGATTATACCAGACTCTGGGTAACTTTCAGATGACTCCTCTCGCAGGATACGTTTTCCCAGACTTTGACACAGGAAACGCGCTCTATGTCACAGGGACAACTGAGATCTTGATTGGCAAGAATGCGGCTGCTCTGCTTCCACGATCAAACCTAGCTGTCAAAGTGACAGTCACCTCCGCTCGCTTCGTCGAGAAGTCACTCGCCTTCAGAGGAATTGCAGGCGCGCCCTCTCCATACACCCCAAGTGTACGTTACCTGGCCACAGAAAGGGTCAACCGGGTCGCTCAGTTAAGTGATGATGTTTCTGTCACGGCTACCATGATTGCAAAGAAGATTCTTACTCCGAGCATCGGTCGGTTTCGGTTTCGGATCTCTGATCCATCCAAAATCGGGACCTGGGTTCCTGGCCAGTATGCCAGCTTCTCGTTTCAGGAGGAGTTGGACCTGGGCTATTGCCATATGCTCGATGACGACCCTTTGAGTCTGAATGATGATTATGTCAGGACATTCACTATTTCATCGTATCCAGGGCATGGACTGGCAGCGGATGAATTTGAAATCACTGTTCGCAAGCACGGCAACGTAACCAGCCACCTCTTCAGGACCAACGAACGCGCCGGTTTAGAGGTCCCTCTCAAAGGCTTTGGTGGCGACTTTAGGCTAGACGATGAAGGATGTGACTGCACAATTCCAGTTATAGCAGGCGGAATTGGTATCACGCCAGTCATTGCACAGCTGCCAGGCATCGATGTTTCGCGCCTACACCTCCTGTGGTCCATTTCTATGGCCGATGTTGGGCTTGTCGTCGACACATTCCAGCGCTTCCCTCAACTGCCAGGCTCAACCACTCTATTTCTCACAGGACCTAAGCCAAAAGATGAGCAGGGCTCTCAGCAACTTGAAGGCATTATATCATCCGGGGCAAGAATCGAGCAACGTAGGATGGAGGCCGGAGACTTGGATACGTCCTTAGGGGATGCCTGGTATTTCTGTGGGAGCTCTTCGCTCAAGGGCTCAGTCATGACTTGGCTGGCAGGGAAACGAGTTATATACGAGGATTTCACCTACTAGGTGTATGTGGTTCACAATGGTCCTCTGGTGATATAGGACTTGACACTCATACCAACAATGCATTTCGTATATACAAATCAAAACATGGTGTCACATACTGTGTAGTGCTGATGCCTCAGGATCCTATTCCGTGGCCACATAGAGCCTGAGGCACAAACTATCAGGCCAGACGCGTATCAATTTGTTGCCTCCGCACCGGCCAAGATAGATAACCAGAGCTCCCCCTCCAAACTCCGCAAGCTTCATCGTCTTCCCTGCACTGTCCACAATCAAGAAAACAAATTCACTGCCAACTGTCATTACCCCATAAAGAGAAATCCACTCATAGGGATAAACCACATACCCACCCCGCACAATCGAGTCAATCGGGTCACCTATTTCAACCCCTCACTCCCCGCGAGTGAATGAAATTAACCAAAAATGTCCACTTACGAAGGTCGGTACCTTACAATCCTCACGCAAATCTGCGCAATCAACATGCTAAAACCTCCTCCACAGTCGAACACAACACGACCGACCCTTCCATCCCCCAACAGCCCACCCGCCGCCGCCGCCCCGACCTCTCAACCTTCTTCTCGACCCTCTCCCAAATCAGCCCCGATGAGCATCGCTCCAGACCGCATGCTGTCCCTGTCCCGCGCGACGTAAGCGCCGCGTTCTATTCTCTCGCTGAGGCGTTGGAGGTTATGCGCCGGGAGTCGGAGGGTGGGGGTGCCGCGGCCGCGGCCGAGGGAGAAGGTGACGGCGATGATCTGCTGTCGCAGATGATTCAGACGTTGTTGCGGGAGGGCGATACGCCGCCTAAGGAGGTGGAGGGTGTGAGTGAGGAGTTTTGCGACGGTAGGTTCTGAGAGGTGGCATATGGCAGGGATTTGAGCGCGGACTGACTAGAGGTTTAGTGCTCGACCGGGTGCCGCGTACGTCGTTGAAGGAGACGCAGACGTGTCCGATTTGCAATAACCCGTTCTTGGAGGATGAGTATCCGCTCGTTGTGCGACTGCCGTGTCATTCTACGCATTTGTTTGACTTGGAGTGTATCCGGCCCTGGTTGCGGTTGCGGGGGACGTGTCCGCTTGATCGGACGGATTTTGGCAAACAGGAGCGTGAGAAGGTGGAGGCGCGTAAGAAGAAACCTGTCGAAGATGACGAGGAGGAATGGGATGGTATGTATGGCTAGTTGCGATTGATATGTTCATTATTCGATTCGTGTGCCATGTCATTCCCTGCGTGGGGGAGTATCTTGTCTAGTATATTGTCTATCTCATAGCAATGTATCTATCCTGTCCTACTTTTTCTCCGAAGGCTGGCCCTCTTTGGGTCGAATGGCCAGCTTGCCGGTCTTATCAATCACGGCCTCAAAGCCACTTCTCTCCAACAGCCCGTTCTCATCCCTGACCACCTCCCGAGCTTCGAGCGCTTCGACCAGCTTCTGATTTTCCCGATTCCCTTCGAGCAGGAACTTGAGACACATAACAGCGTGTTCCTTGATGTAAGGGTTGTGAGCATCAAAATTGGTACAAGACAAGATAGTCTCGACACCGCCGTATCGGCGAATCTGATCCTGGACCTCGGGACACTTCCAAACCAGCGACGACAGAACGAGCACGACGAGTTTCTTGAGATTTCTCCACTCAAATTCAGAGGGATCCTCAGTGATAGGGGGCGATTCGGCCCTGGATCCGGTGCTGCCACCGCCGTTTTCCGCCGGGTCAGGGTCACCAGGGTCATATGGTCTCTCAACAGCCACAGGTCCTGCCGCTGCGCCTTGCTGATGGGCTTCTTTGGAAGGGCTGTTACGGCCAAGAGACAGCGAACTCAGTTGGCCCTTGGGGATACTGGCTTCGAGTTCCTTGATCAGCGTCACCAGATCATAAACAATCTCCCACTTGACAAGCAGGTTCTTCCAGTCGTTATTTTCTGTAAGCACAGCAAAGAACTCCAAAAACTGGTAGACACCCTCGTACACTCGTTCCATGTCCCACAAATTCAGTGGGAAATCTTCTGGCAGCGCACGTCCGGCCCTGATCTGTCCTTGAAGGTAGATTAAGGCGCAGGTTTCGGGGATGATGTTCCCACGGAAGATAGTAAATATGTAGCGGACCGTGAGGATATCAACCCTAGAAAGAGGCGCCGGGTTCTTCGTGGCGCTCTGCTGGGTTGCGCCTGTAACCGAGGCAGGAGAGTACTTTGCTCTGAAAATGTGCGTCAAGATCTTGACCACGACGGCCTGAGCGGGAGAGATGATGTCCTTTGGCTGCCCGAAGTCAGAGTAGGCGTGAGACATCAGCCCGTTCTTCAGAACTGCATCCATAATCTGTACCATCATCTTGAAATATAGCTCATCATCAGGGAGGTCCCAGGCGGCAATGAAGATCAATAACTCCCGCAACAGATTTCGACCAGTTTCCTGGGTGAGAAGGATGTGGCATCTGAGAGCTTGCATGTTTCTCGAACCTGTGCGCTCGCCACCCTTGAGTCCGAAGCTGTCCACAATACCGGCCTGAATGATCATGGGAAGAGCTTCAATTTCCGCGGGCCCTAGAACAAGAGGGATGTCGGTCAGCAGGCCACGCTGCTGATCGCCAGGTCGACCTCGGTAGTCTTCATCGTCCTCGTCGTCTTCTTCCTCCTCCTCTTCCATGCTTCCGTCAGCAACGGCTTCCAGGCTGTGCGAATCGTCGTCGCCAACTGTCCCTGCATCGCCAGCATCATAATCTTGGTCGCCATGATCAGCAATCTGGGATGAATCCTGCAATCGAGCCATCAACTCGTCCTTGGCTTCTTGCAAGGTCTCGGCCGCAGATTGAGCAGATCGGGGCATGCTTGTGTCTTCCTCCGTTATTGGTGCATCGCCTGCTGCCAGTGCGCCGTATTCGTTGAGGTCGGGTAAGTCAGCCCAGCAAATGCGAGGAAAACCGGCGGTTTGGCTGCGGTCTATCGTCAGGATTGCCTTTTTCCTCGGCGGCTCGTCTTCGGGGAGTGCAGGCGGAAGGTCCCTGGCTCTATCCTGGAGATCTGACCAACCATCCACCTTGGCTCCAAGAATAGCAGTCAAGGCGGCTCGAATCTCCTTCACCTGCTCCGGATCCTTGCCCATCTCTTGAATGGCCGTAAGGTCTCGCCCAAGAAGTTTCTCCATGTGGTCTTTGATGTTGGCGAGGAGTAGCATGGCTGCTTCTTCTTTGATTGTCGCGGGATCCCGTGGGAAATTCGAGATGGTTTCCAGTAACAAATCTTCCGCTGTCTGATCGTATAGAGCCCTGATCGGGGGATTCACAATCCTCTCCCCAATCTTGACGATTGGTGCCACCCCCTCAGCCTGAGCGTTAGCCTGATCAAGTGGCTCTCTAGGTTGAATGATATTGGAGTCGCCAGTCGAATGGTAGCCGAACAGATCTAACCACAAGACCATCTTCCGCTGCTCATTATGCATGATAAAATTGTGCAGGAATTGAAGACATGTGATCAATAATCGCTTATATAGATTGACCACTTTCTGCCAGCGCTCCTCATTTCTCGCATTTGTCTCTCCGTCAAACCCCCGCGCTGTGACTCTAACACAAGTATCCACCAGCGCCAAAATCCTTTGATCAAAACCTTTCTCCGCCGCAATATTCTGCGCTTTCTTCGTTGTGGCGAGAAGGTTCCGAGCTATAGTGCACAGGTCGTTCAAGCGCTCGATGTCTTTGACGAGGGAGAAGTAGTTGTATGCGATGAGATTTGAGGATGAGTGTTCGTAGTTCGCGGACGGAGGGCTCTTCCAAGCAAATGATTGTGATTCCAGAACCGGTATCGCCTTCGTCAGTACATCCGTAAAGCCTTGCCAAATGTCCGGGGATAAGCCCAAATTGTGTCTGTAGTAAGGGAAGCAGTCAGACAACGTTTCCCGGTCCGAGATTACCAAATAAATCATACCTGACGTCGCTCTCCTGATGTGTTTTGTAGAGGATCTGTTTCCCAGCAGATAGCATATGCTCCAAGCGTTTATCGTCAATCATCCCACGAGTCTCATAGTGGCTCAAAGTTCCCGTCAGGATGACCTTCAACATGAGCTCAGCTGGGGTGCATTTTGGTTTAGTTTCTGACGCTGATCGGTCTGCCATCTTGACGGTTGCCCGTAGTTATCAGGCGAGAATGGACTGGACCAACGTGAGATTATTGCCAGAAAATAATGCCAAATCAATGTAGTAGAGTGTTGCTGGCGATAATAATGGGGAAGAAGAAATAGTGACAAAGGCAATTTTTCCGGTTCCGCCGATCAAGTGTCCCGCCTACCCTTTTTGGTAAGCCCACATGAGAGCGTATTTTCATATAAGAATGGGCTGAGAGCGTCATAAACGATCATTTTATGAGTATGTACAAGATCTAAAGTGATCATTGAAGAGAATTATACGCGGCGTCTAATAGGCATATGGAAAACCTCCCGTAGATTGTCCCAGAATCCCAAGTCATAGATATTGTCAATCTCCCGCATACTGTTCACTTCAATCCATCTTGTGTCAACTGGCGCCTGTAGATCATCCTTATAAAGTATTTCATTCGACCGTGAGCAGAGCCGGAAGCCCTCCTTGGGGGGCTCGCCGTCCGTGATTACTAGGATCTGGTCACTGCTCACTGGCCAGGTTCTTTGGGCCGGAGTGTCCTCATCAGAGTGGAATCGGCTCCCATAGATCTCGCTTCTGGTGGACTTAAATACCAAACCATCTGCAACATCCTCTTTCCAGTCTGACCATTTTGCGCTCTCATTTGTAGTCATGCCAGCCCAGATGAGGTAGATGTGATAGAGTAGAAAGGCCATAGCCAATGGTGCTGTCATGGCTGTTAGCATGGCGACGGCACCAACACGAATATCAGAAGCAATAGCTATCGCCCAGACATTGAGCCATGTTGTCCAATCTTGTGATTTCGATCGTAACGGTGAGCTCGATGGTATGAGTCCCTCTAGCGTTTGCGACACAAGAGAGAAGCCAAGGCATGACCCGTATGCCAACATCACCGATAAGGATAGTAACAAAGATAAGAAGTAATGGTAGTTGTTCCGACCAACGCAGTTGGTCAGCCATACGCAGTGATGATCGTGTCGCGAAACACAAGCTTTGCAGAAACTGCAGTGCTTACTTCGCGCCGGTTTCAGGAAATCACACGTACGGCAACGATGACCTGGATTAAAAATCACTCGATCATATGGATACCGTGCCATCTCATCCTCGTGGTTTTCGTGAGTGATGTACGACTTGGTGACAACGCTAGCGTACAGAAAGACATATGGAAGAAGCGTGAGGGCTGGAATGCAGAACCGATGGAATGTTGAGATTCTAGGCCACACGCTCGGAATAAACATGCATTCTCCCGCTATGAGGAGGGAAAGGAAGAAGATCTGCGATGAGTTAATCGATGAGAAGAAAGGATGTCTGCAACAGCTAAAAACTTACAAGTACGAGCGGATGGTTTTCATGCAATACATAACTACCGGTGCGGTTCCAGCAGTACGACAGTCTGCCCCCAAGTAGACGAGAATCCAAATATAATAGCACATTAGGAATGTGTATACAAATGATCCTATGGAGTAATCCAACGGGGGTTTTCCTACCGGCACTACTCGTCAGCGGTGGCCAGTACAAATGATTTCCCTCTCACCTAAGAGCAGGAAGCCTTCCAAATAGGGCCACAAAAGTAAATGCAGAGACTCCAAGGATGGCGATAGCCACTGTCCTCAGAGCCCCCATGATGACCTAGATCGTCAGGATCTTGGTAGTGATCTCCCGCGTTGTCAGTCTAGCAGCATGCCCGAGTGAAGTGCCTGCAGCTTGGATGACTATCAAAGATATAGCCTATATTGCTGTTTCACTCCGGTTTTAGAAGATCTGGCGGTTGGCTTTTCTCTGCCTGCAAAAAGCACTTTAATGACTTCGCCAAGTCATTGTTACCACCTAATGCACGTGACTTCCACTACCCGAAGAGGAATGAAGAAGTGGTGTCATGATCGTGGTGCTGCCGTGAATGATACAATCTGATGGAAGCCGGTCTTTGATTTCTTCGAAGAAACCATTCCCTGAAACCAAAGTCCAGCTGCATGGACGCAGTGTCATTACAGCACCAAGAATTAAACTTTTCGACGCGCGAACACGTGATTACGTGTTGTGTAAAGTAGCCCGCGACGGCAACTGAGGGAGGAAGAGGGAAGAAATCCATTTAACTATCTTTCGAAGGCAGATGGACTAGATTAACCATGACAGGAGGTAATGTGGAGGGCGATGATGGCGGCGGGAACAGTAATGGCAGCCTTCTCTTCGATGGGAAACAGTTCTGGTTGTCTCACAACATTCCTCAAAGAAGCAGATTCAAAGAGTTGATCGAGGTATGTTTCTAGGTGTTTGTGCTCTTCTACTCTAAGCTGACGGTACTTTAGACAAACGGCGGTATTGTAAGGCTTCAAGAGAAAGATGCAGATATCAAATTGGTAGATCATACAAGGAAGAATCTTCCATCTGACACGTATGTTTTACCATTTGTCCGTTGTTTCTTATGAAAGTAAGCTGAGAACTTCAGATACTCCTTTAAATTTGTGGAAGACTCTGTCCGGAGAGGAGAACTGGCAGACCTGGAAACTTACAGAGCTGGACCTTCCGCACCCCGACCTGTGGGAGCAACACACATCTCAACTAGAGCTCACAAGATCGCATACTCACTACAAGATGACCAGCTGCTATGGGACTGGGTGCAACCGTATGAGAAAGACCCAAGAGCCCCAATCAGCGGTAACCTGATTTACAAACAATTAGCGGAGAAGGTAGGTCCATACCTCCCTCGGCTTGTCCTATGCGAATTTTACTTCGTTATTCGCTTACGGTTTCTTTCCGCTCTCAGCACCCGCGACATACTTGGCAATCTTACCGTGATCGGTATTTGAAGAGACTTCGTGGAAAGTCACGTCCGGGGGGCGAGCCAGCGTCCACAGGTCAGGCTCCCGCTCAGGAGGTGAGCACTATGAGACGGTCCCAGGTCCCTAGCGCTGCCCCGACAAAGTCGCCTGAGAGACGTTCTGAGAATGCTCCTGTGGCTACGGAAAGGGCAGAAGCCAGAAAAAGGAAAAGAAGTCCTGAGGTCGGCGAATCAGACCGGACCGAAGGTCAACGAACAGACGATCGACCGAAGAAAAGACCAACGCCGGCAACTCTCCCGGAAAAGGGCGTCTCTACTGCTCGTCAAAGAATACTTGAGCAGCATCCCACTCGTACCGAGCCAGTTGTAAATACAGCTTCGAAACGTATAGATCAACAAAGGAAGGAAGAGCCAAAGCCAAGGAATACAGAAGTTGCCACAGTGGTACAATCCCACAAAACTCAACAGCCAAGCGAAAATCCAGATAGCGTCCCTGACAATTTCCTCTTTGAACTGCCGTTCTTTCCCTCAAGTCCGGAGTCTCAAGAAGAGCCCTCTCCAGAGCAAGACATCGACACATGGATCGAGGACCGTCTGCGAACAGGCAAGGCAGATAACGAAGAACAAGTGATTGAGGCTCTACAGTGCACCAGCATGGACCCACGCTTAGCCGACAAGGTTCTGGAATACCTTGCTACAGGTAAAGGCATTCCTGAGGATATGGCTGGAGTTTGGACACCCGAAGATGATGAATGCGTGGAAGTGGGCAACAGCCGAGCCATCGAACGAGTCTTGAAGAAGCATGGATCAGAAGCCTTCGAAGCACGGTGGAATTATCTTAGCATGGCCAGGGCCGCAGGTCTTTCTGGAGGAGGCATGGGCGATTGATAGTCACCTGTGTGAAACGTTTTCAACCGACAAGCGGGATGTACGATAGGAAAGGCTGCAATTGTGCACGCGAGAGATGATCGCATGAATTACGAACTAAATTTGACCAATAATGGACGGAAAAAGCAGCATGAGTGGGAAGCTTATCGGCCCCTCGCTTCCACTATAGTCTCCTGGCTTTATCCTTTTTATGACGAGAGTATTGCTGAATTTGCGACCACATCCAAGAGGAATATATCTTACAAATCAAAAACCATAGCTGAAGGCCAGTAACTCCATAATCAACCCGCGATGCGCTGTGACCGTTTTACATTATGTGTCAAAAGAATCCTTCTCAATGAAACATCGCTGGGCCCTAAAACGAGAAAAAGCAAACCCAGGTGGCGCCTTGTAAATCATGGAGCCGAAAGTTTAAGCGTCTTTGAAGACCCTAAAGCAAAGTCAGAAGCTGATACCTATGGGGGAGTTAAGGAGAAATGGCGCACAGATGTTGCTCGTAGAACTTGAGCATCTGTCTTATAGTTAGCGTACGCTTAAGGATTATCAGCCATCAAGCAGAACTTACCTGTCTTGGGCATTTTTCGTAGCATGTTTCGATGGAGACCTTGGCTGTTTTGCCATTGGTCCATTTCAGAAATGCGATCAACGAGTTCGTCTTGGGGTCGCGAATGATGGTATCAACTTTCTGTACGTCTTTCTCCCAGCTCTTCGATCGCGGCACCCAATCAGGTACATCGCTTGCCTCTGGCGTCTCTGTGCTGGTCTCTGCATTGGCCCTAGACTTTCTGCGTCGCTTAGGCTCTGCTGGTGTTTCAGACTCCGCCTTAGCGCTTCCCATTGACTTTCGCTTTCGGACTGCAACTGGTTTCTCCGGCCGACCACCTTGAGCTCTGAAGTATTCATCTAAGATCTCCTTTGCGCCCTCCCTGAGGGCTGTGAGCACCAGATTCGAGCTCCGGAGGAAAGGGCGAGGAATATCTTACAGGAGGTTCTCTTCTGGTTCTAATGTCTGATCTGCTGGGTCGTCGTAGCCATGCCACTTCACTTGAAGCATAAGTTTGCCCTACCTGCTGGTTAGCGCAGAGTCGCCAATTGCGCTGATTGAAGGCGCAAGGAAGCAGTGGACAGGGGAGGGATCGCGATGATCAATTACATACATCCTTTGTGAACTCATGACCCATGATCTTTTCAACGGTGTACCTGTCAAATATGAGCATCGCGTTCCAGCTCGGCAAGTCGGTCGTTGCACTCACAGCCCCTCTTCCTCATTCTCCTCATCGTCCTCATCGTCCTCCTCGTCCTCCTTCGCGTCGCCAGCGTTGTCCTTGTCGTGTTCAACGTTGTTGTAAGGGATAGATCCGCCAGTGGACTCGTCATCCGAGAGATCCTCAACGGGGGCTACAGCAAAGTCAGCTGGACATGACGGGCTCCGGCGCACAAGTCACCCATCACTCACGAGGCATTGTCCTAAAAGGATTGGCTAGGTTGAAAATTTTGGAAAACGTTTTGGCGACGGTGGGCAATCTCGACCCCAAGGATAGGACTGATGGGCGACAATGACGGGATGCGACCAGTTATTGCTTAATGGAGCTGATTTGGGGATCGAGATGCCCTTCGGGCTCTTTGCGATATGACGAGTCGCGAAAGGCGCGTGGGTGGATTAAACACGCTATACCGGATATGGCAAGCAGCTCACTAGCCCAACTGGGACATCTCCAGAAATTCTAAAAGTGCCCTCAATATCAGTGAACCCGGTTGTGTCCAGATCGTTGAACCCCCCCCCCCCCCCCCCCCCCCCCCCCCCCCCCTGCTCCTGCCTCATCGTTGCTTGTTTCAGGGACATCTTTTGGAAATTTATCTCACCTTGGTCTCAGGGTGTTCTCGTTGAAACTATAAGCTGCAAAATCCTGCCGGCTGGCAGACCGTCAAAATGGCGATGCGTATGTTTCTGATACCCCTCACCGAGATCACTCCTCGTACTGACTCTGGCTGCCTTGATCTAGAACTTGATTTGTCTCAAGGTTGATTTCACCTCTGCTTCCGGCTTCCTTACGCTCCGGATTGTGACTAACAACTCCAATAGCTTCTGTTATGAAAGATGAACAGGGTCGGCCGTTCATCGTTGTCCGAGAGTATGTTGCGGGAGCCCCCTACCACGGCTATCTTGACTTCAGTGGAATACGAATAATGGTGACCAGACACTGATACAAATCTACTTGCATAGCCAGGGAAAGAAGAAGAGACAGCACGGCACCGAGGCCGTGAAATCACACATTGTCGCTGCCAAGACCGTCGCCAACATCGTGAAGACTTCTTTGGTATGGTCCGGAGGTTTTTAAGAAAAACTGGAACGGCATCTAAGAATGATTATAGGGTCCCCGCGGTCTTGACAAGATTCTGATCTCCCCGGATGGTGATATCACAGTTACCAACGATGGCGCAACTATCCTTTCCCAGGTCCGTTCTTCAACCGCCTCCGTGATCATCGATTCGGCGTGTCACTGACTTGCGACTGTCCATAGATGGAAATCACAAACAACGTTGCCAAGCTCTTGGTTGAGCTCTCAAAGTCTCAGGATGAAGAGATTGGTGACGGTACAACCGGTGTCGTCGTCCTGGCGGCCGCTATGCTCGAGCAGGCGGCCGAGCTGATTGACAAGGGAATTCATCCCATTCGTATTGCAGACGGATATGACCAGGCTTGTGAGATTGCTGTTGCTCAGCTCGACGAGATCAGCGATGAGATCCCTTTCACCAAGAACGATACCGAAAACCTACTCAAGGTTGCGAAGACCAGTCTTGGTAGCAAAATGTACGAACTTATTGACACCGCCTCTTTACATTGTGGATGACCGATAGCTGACTCTACTCTAGTGTCTCGAAATCCCACGACCAGTTCGCCAAGATCGCTGTCGATGCGGTACTTTCAGTTGCGGACCTCGAGCGCAAGGACGTCGACTTCGAACTGATCAAGGTAGATGGAAAGGTTGGCGGTGCTCTGGAGGACTCGCTCCTCGTCAAAGGAGTTATTGTGGATAAGGATTTCTCTCACCCCCAGATGCCCGACGAGGTTACAGATGCCAAGCTGGCGATCTTGACCTGCCCGTTCGAGCCTCCCAAGCCGAAGACGAAGCACAAGCTCGACATCACATCCGTCGAAGAGTTCAAGAAGCTGCAAGACTACGAACGAGAGAAGTTCACAGAGATGATCCAGCACTTGAAAGACTCGGGCGCCAACCTGGTGATCTGCCAGTGGGGTTTCGACGACGAGGCAAACCACCTTCTACTGCAGAACAAGCTTCCCGCAGTCCGGTGGGTCGGTGGTCCCGAAATTGAACTCATTGCGATTGCTACGAATGGACGGATTGTCCCTCGTTTTGAGGACCTGAGCCCGGAGAAACTGGGAACCGCAGGCCGCGTGCGGGAGATGACATTCGGTACCACTCGGGAGAAGATGCTTGTCATTGAAGAGTGTGCCAACAGCCGTGCCGTTACAATTTTCGTACGAGGAAGCAACAAGATGGTTCGTGGGACTTGTGCAGTGCGGAAGACAGAGACATGACTAACCCTTTCCTCCTAGATCATTGATGAAGCCAAGCGCTCGCTACACGATGCTCTCTGCGTTGTCAGAAACCTCGTCCGAGATAACCGCGTCGTATACGGTGGTGGTGCTGCTGAAATTGCTTGCTCCCTCGCTGTGGAGGAAGCTGCTGTGAAGGTAGGTAGTCTTGGAATCCTGTTTCAATACAGCAACTGACTCATAGACTTTCAGAGTCCCGGCATTGAGCAATACGCTATGCGTGCGTTTGCTGATGCGCTGGATGCGGTGCCTTTGGCGTTGGCCGAGAATTCGGGTCTGAGCCCGATCGAGACACTTGCGGCGATCAAGTCGCGCCAGGTCAGGGAGAAGAACTCCCGGCTGGGTGTCGATTGCATGTTGACCGGCAACAATGGTATGGATTTGATCTTTGCTTGGCAAAAAGGTCTATGCTTACATCTGCACAATAGATATGAAAGAGCACTTTGTCATTGATCCTCTGATCGGCAAGCGCCAGCAACTTTTGCTCGCTACTCAGCTGTGCCGCATGGTTCTTAAGGTACGAATTCGGACCCAGGTGTAACTGCCGCGTGTCCTCAGACTGACTGAGAACAGATCAACAACGTCATCATTGCCGGAGATGACAGCCAGGAGTTTTAGATGTCTTGATATCAACTAGCATAATTGTCCCGGCTGGTCGTGCTGGGGAGGTAATGTACCTTTGTGATTCTATGTCTAGTGTATGTAGAACATGGCGGATGCATAGAGAAAAATGCCCAAACAAACGAACCTGATGACACATATACCTAGCAGTTTGTACTGTGGTATGCAGATGTGGATTGCATCTTGTGCCCTCATTATTGTTATAGCCATTGACCAGAGGCAAGCGCAGCATAAATCTTCCGGCCTTACAGCCAAGACGAGCCTTGTCACTTGAGCTTGCTTGTAACGGTCTATCTACCAAGTAGCTCACTCGGCATCTCGACTCTTGTCCGAGACGGCGGTGACAATCACAGCTGCTCGTAATAGCTCCACATGGGACATGTCACGTTGCCAGTCGTGGTTCCAGAACACGTGCGTAGAGACAGTATACCTATCATTCAATGGTCACAGTCCATGGATCAAACAAGCTTCGCACATTAAGCCTCGGAGTTAAGAGCTCGGGGGACTTTTGGCAAAGTCTAGAAAGGAGGAAAGTCTGAATTGACTGGCTTGGAGGGAATCGGGGCACGTATATTTCGCAGGATCGTGGCTGACTGGTATAAGAGAGGCACGCTGGGCAGCTCACTCCGTAATTCTTAGATAGTACCTAGTATCTCCCAGTCCGGCTGTGGTGGATTAGTGCCGGGAAAGATGAAGAGGACCTAGGAAATAACAGGGACAAAGTCAATGATAGAATTCAGGACTCAGGAGAGACCTTGGCTGACAATAATAGACGAGATAGCAACTGGCAAGAACTGGCTCTCCATCCTCCTCCATTTCTCCACATTTTACCTGATCGTTCTTTGTGATTTTCACATTCAACTTGACAGACTTTCAGACCACGTCATTGGGCAACGCGTTTCTCAGGTTGATTTTCTCCTTTTCTGTCCCGCTGGATGATGGGACGGTCTGTTAAGTGGAGATTGACTGAATCTCAGACCCATCCGAACAGTACTTGAAATAATAATAATGGAAACACTAGACAAAGGTACCTTCGTTTTTCCAAGTCGGGATTGCTGGCGTTTCCGGTTGGTCTCCTGAATCTCCCCTCATTGGACGACTGCTCGGGAGCTCCAACTGCAGACTCCGTCAGCTCTAAGGTACGGAGCTACCCAGGTAGACAAGTGTCTATCTTGCTATCGGTTACACATGGAACTGGAAGAACACCATCCTTCTGCTTTATATATGTACTCGACATCCCATCCTATTGTTCCACTTCAAGATCTAGCTTTAAGAATCGTTCATCATCATATTCTTGATCCATTCATCCTCTTCTGATCCTTTTTTCCAGTCAAATCATCTCGCCAGCGCTACTTTCCTGATTTCCGAGGTAGCAGGCCACGGACGAATCAGCGTTGGCGATCACGACATTTCTCCATTCTATCAGATCATCGGCTAGCCCCAAGCAGGCTGAGACGATCCCCGAGCAACGACATCTCGTTTTATGAAGATGCGCCATTGTGGATGATTACTCAGATTAACGACTTGGTTACCTGTCTAGGGACAGGCCAGTCTTGAAGATAGACAGACAGCTCCAGCACAATCCAACGAAGGACCACCTTCCTCTTCATCCGGTGTCTTACCTTACCTTAGTTACTCTCCTCATCCCATCCCAGTCGCATCATCGTCACCATCACCATAATCCAGCCTTCTTCTCTTCCCGTTGCTCAACCCCGTTTGCCGTTGTGTACGTGGCTGCATTTTTTTCCCGCGTTATGCGAACGCAATGATCAACTGGGAAGCATTATTTTTATCCTTACAAAAAGCCGGGTGATTGCCGTATGCCTAGATACCTTAACTCACCTCCGATCGTCCAATCTTCGACCTCCATCATTCGTGGGCTCCTTTTGTCAAAATTTCCTCCCTCTTCTTCTGAGCTTTCCCCTCTTCAGCTGATCTCTGGGGAGGCGCATGACATTTTTCTGGGTAGACTATATCTGTCATAATCTAATCTGCTCCCCTGTTCTTTGCTTCACCCAATTTGGTAAGAATTGAAGGTAATAAAAGAAAAAGAAAGAATTTCCCAAGGAGCAAAAGAAAAGAAAAGAACGTCCAAGAAAAAAAAAGAAGGACAAGAGTGAAGAACAAAAGTATCCCCCAAGATGTCTGATGAGCAGCGTCAGCAATCTCTTGCTCGTCAAGTGGCTGCTTCGAACTACGAGAGACTGGAGAACTTCAACTTCTTGCTCTCTCGCCACGATCCAGCCGTGGCAAAGTCTCGAC